TTCACAGCCTCGGCAGGGATCACCAACTCTGTGTGGTGTGAATACACTGTTTGTTTTCCTTCCCTTTTAGTTTGCCATTGGAAAGTCCATTAGTGCTGAATGACATGACTAAACAGAAAGGGAGAGAACAGTTGATGTGTTAATAATTCTTAGGTAAATATCATTTGTTATTGTCACTGCTGAGGCTTTCAGAACGGTGGCACCATTCCTGATCCTGCACTGTCTCCTTGGCTCTGTCTTTTGGCAACCTAGAAAGACAGGTTTGGAGACGGAAGGAATCTCAAAAGGACTGGTGAGCAAGAGGAAGGAGGGGTATGGGAATGAAACAGGGACTCTGAAAGAGACAGAGACAGCAAAAGAAAGAAGGGCGGACACATGCACGTACGCACGCATGCACGCACATCCACACGCGCATGCGCACACACAAAGCAGAGGAGACAACACGAAGAGCTAATGATGGATCATTAACCAGATCCCACAGTCTCTCGTGCTTCTTCCGTAAAAAGCAGGCACCTCTACATTCACGAGTGAGCTGCTCTTTCTTGGCCCCTCGGGTCCCACATCTGCTCTTGCATCAGTATCTAGGATGTGCAATCTCCCTGACTAGCTGCGAGCCAGAGGACAGGTAATGTCTTCTGTCTTGGGAGAATCAACCTAAGAAGAGTGAGTCGCATCACTATGGAGGCCGAGAGGCATGAGGGGCTTCCCTGGGAATAACTCCACGCCTGTGGTTAGTGTGTGTGTGTGTGTGTGTGTGTGTGTGTGTGTGGTGGGGGGAGTCATGGCCAAGCAACTATCCTTTTGAAAGGAAGGATTTATGAATGCATAAACAGATAAACTGGCTTCTCCTAGCCAAGAAAGAAAAAAGGGACCTTCAGTCTGAGTCACATGGTAGGTGTTTATGTCAAATGATTGTTCCGATCTGGAGCTATGATTTTAAGGCTATCAGACACTTTTTTTTAACCTTCACTGCCTGGCTAGGAGTTGCCAGATATGATTTTAACCCAGGATTCATGACTAGAGACACCACGTTGGCTGGATAACATTTCATTCCTTGGCTAGACACTCAGAACATCTCTCTATGGGTCACATAAATTCTGAAATGTATCCCTCTCTTTATTCAGTGTACAATATTCTCGCAATGCTTTCAAAGGGAGACAGTTAGAACATCACGATTAATACCTGGCAGAGGTTCAAATATCAGCCCTGCAATAGACCAGAGAAATCTCAGGCAAGATTATTACCTTTCAAGCCTCAGTTTCCTCATCTGTGAAGTGGAATTAAGAGTAGAACTTTCATGATAGGGTTAAAATGAGGATTAAAATATAATAGTAAAATGCTTAGCATAATACCTATATATATGAGTCTTCCCTAAAATACAGAATGACCATGAATCAGCGTCTGTTCAGTCAATTCCCACACCACCACTGGGAAGCAGGTTGTGTTGCCACCTAATAAAGAATTAATTGACATATCCACAATCTCCAGGCATTTAGCATTGAAGTCAGGATCAGAAAAATATACCACTGTGAGACTGGACTCTCATGAGATGACACCGTGGGAGAATGTAAAGAAGGAAAAGAGGAGGGACAAGGATTTGTTCTGGGGGAACAGATGCCATTAAAGGCATGAGAAGGGTAGGGTCTGGACAAGAGCTACTCAGCAAAAGCAGAAAAGCAAGGATTTCACTGTTGCAAAAAATGCAGGAGGGAGCTCTTTTCCCTAAATACAGGAACAACGGGCCCACTAGGATCAAAAATCATGAAATTGAAAGAAATGCCTTGCAATTCGAAAGTAAGAAGGTCGTCCATTTATTTATTCAACATGTACCGATGGGGCCAAGGGCACTTTTGAGGCGCATTCTCGCTCTAGGAATGCTTTGGTGAAAATGGAAAGCCAGATCTTTGTTCTCTGAGGACATAGCCCCTCACAGGGAAAGCAAGTAGTATAAAATCAAATGGAAAATCATAATTTTGATGGTGTCACTTCTGAGGACACAGAGAGTGGATAATAGAGTAAGAATTTGACTTGGGTAGGTGGGCAGCTAAAGCAACTGTGATTGGGAAAGCATATTTTTTTTTATCTTTTTAAGACAGAGTCTCACTGTGCAATTTAGGCTGGCCTTGAGTTCACTTTGTAGCTTAGGGTGTGGTCTCGTACTCACAGTGATCCTCCTGCCTCAGCCTCCTATGTGTTGGGATTATAGGCACATGCTACTACACCCTATGGAAAGCATACATTCTTAAGGAGACCTAGAAGGAGCCAGCCTCAGAAAAATCACAAGGGCATTGTAGTTGGGGAGAGCAGGTTAAGCAGAGTCCCTGAGGCAGGAACGAGTTTTACTTTGACCTTCGAAAAGGCATTGTTGCCGACTTTATGTCAGTAGAGGCCAGACTCTGATAGCTAACAGAGAAGAATTGACTTAAAAAGAGCTAGACAGCCTAAGTGTGAGCTACAAGACATTGTTCTTGAGAAGATACAAGACAGAGGTCTGGGCGCCATCCGGAGCAGTGGGCGTGGTGGCCACACTCCTTTAGGAGACCTCTCATTTCCCTCCCTCTTGTAGGGATCTCCCCTCAGTGTCAACATTTGCAACCAGAAAGGCATACTTAGCTTATCCATATTAATAACTGTAAGGTGTTTGTGGGATTTGGAGGTCAGAATAATCAAATCCTCCCACTCCAACACTCTCCTGACAGTATCAAACTTGTTTGTACTCGAAGGCAATGTCATCATTCCAACAAACACAAGGATCTTCGCTTCAGATCTCTTTTGTTTATTTGTTCTCCACAATTCAGGGTCACCCTTTGTTTCTAAGCCTTCCCAGATCTCATCTCACTGCTTAGTCTTGCTCACTGTCTTGTCCACTCAATCTCCGCCATCCGAGGTCAGACCCTAGATCAGGTGATCCGGTGGAACTTCTCTAATGAAGGAAATGTTCTGCATCTGGGCCAGCCAGTGCAGCAGCCACTTGCTGTACGTGGCTGCTCCACACTGAAACATGGATGGCATGATTAAGGAACAAAATATTTACTTTATATAATTTTAATTAATTTCAACTTAAATAATCACACATGGCTAGAGCCTATAATTTTAGACAGTTTGGGAGAATTAAAATTCAGGAGTGTTCATTGCTTCCCGTCACTTTATTGAGAAAAAAACCAACACAGATAATTAATGCCGAAGCCAAAGAATGAGGAAATTTCTTCTCAAGGAGAAAAGGATGGAATGTATTCAAAACGGTCTAAGTTTAATATGCAGGACTATTATCAGCATCTTTCTTTGGCCCAAACATGAACATACCGCCTCTTCAACGTCTGAGATTGTTATTTTTCAAGTGTGTTCTAATGAATGTTAATTTCATGAAGTCTTTGATGGAAAGGAATCATCATCCAATAGGCTAGGGAGCTTTGAACATCTTTATTTTCCTTTGTACATTTACAACGTGCATTATCTTATAAAGACTCTGAGCAGTCCTACAGCATGGAGCTCTGAAAACATTGGTCAGTTCAGTAGTTCTCTGTCGTGTTTGACCAGAGAAATCTCTGAGTTTGTGGTGTGTGCATAAGAGAAAGGGAGAGAAGGAGAGAGAGAAGGAGAAAGAGAGAGAGGAAGAAGGAGAGGGGGCGAGGAAAAGAGAGGGAGAAGGGGTAAAGGAGGGGAGAGAAAGAGAGAGAGGCAGAGAGAGAGAGAGAAATTAGAGAAATACTAAGCTTAAAACATGCATTTAAGGGGTACAGGAAGGGGTACTTGTATAAACAATGTCAGATTTACTATTGATTATTAACTGTGTGACCTTGAAAGAGTCAATTAACCTTTCTGACCTTCATCACCATCATTGGAAAATTAAGGATTGTATCACAGGTTTGCGTGAGGATGAAATGCAGTAGTGTATATTAAAAAATTGCAGTTCTTTCACATTTTTTATCCCTTATTTCTTTGGTACAGGGTCTTTCCGTGCAAGTCAGACTCATACTGATACTCCTGTCTCAGCCTGCCCAGTGCTGGGATTCCAAGCCTGTGCCACCACACCTGGTTTCGGTGGCCAGTACAGTGCAGCATGCAGTTCTGGGGATTGAACCGGGGCCCTTGCACTTGCCAAGCACGTGTTTAGACAGCCGAGCTACCTCCGCGACCCCATATTGCAGTTCTTGAGAACAAGAGAATCTTCTCAAAATAGTGGGGTATTATTCTTTTCACTGTCATTTATAAAAATTATATGGCTAAATGACAAACTTTCTGGACCCAAGGAGAAGTATATTCTGAGCTGGAAAGGCCCACTTATGGCCTAGAAATATTTTGAAGTTTTGTATTGGAAAGCTGAGTGACAGAAAGGGGCCTCTCTAACTCCCCTTCCCCATCCTTAGTAAGACTGTGCACCAGGCACCATCTTCCTGCAGTCCATTCTCAGCGCAGTAACCAGGATTCTTTGGAACCAGAAGCTGGAAGGCATCGTTCCTGGAGGTAAAGGCCTCCAAGCTCTGTGTAGTCACATCAGCCCATGTTCCTGTTTTTTCTCTTCCTACCATTGCTATTCTGGGAAGCACACGTTCTTGCTGTCCCCTGGTAAGACAGGAGGCTTGAGCTTCCCCTGGTGCCTCTGGTATGGATCACTCCCCACTTATCTGCATGGCTTGTTTCCCTGCATCTTCCAGCCCCTTTGCTGCAGTGTTTCCTCCTTAACCCAACCCAGACTTGGTGGTACAGCCTCCCACGTCCCAGAACTCTCCATTTCTCTTCCTTTTCTACTTTTTTTTTATTACACATGTGATATCCCCTGTTTTACTTGGTTGCATTTTATCTTTATCTGTTTCCATCCAGTGAAACCTAAACCTGTCCCTTTCATTCTCTACCATAACTCAATGCCTATGGCCATGCCTAGCACATAGGAGATGCTGTTGGGTCAATGAATGCAGAAATCCCATGTGTTCTGTTACACAATGGCGGGCCCTTCCTCCAAGTCCAGTTCTGCTTGAAGAATGAAACACACATGTACAGGATGGTTTCTGTGGTTTTTATTAGTGTTTTCTGGGACCTGTCAAAGGAACAAATAAAAAACCCATATCTTGAAAAATATAATTCTCTAATAAAATAGGAGCACTCAGTTTAAGTTTACCATAGCTTAAAGGGAAAGATTTCTGATTTACTTAAACAATAGAAGCGGTGTGGTTGCTCTCCCCAGTTTGTCAACCCCGAAGCCAGATGGCAAGCATTATGCTGATAGCTATAGAAAGCTGAATCCCAATTTAGTTCAACTTGTAAAGGCCTGCATGTTTCAAAGGTTTATAAGATAAAGTCTCAACAGGTATTTTTTTTTTTTTCTTTCAATGCCATCTTACTTCAGAAACCAAATCCTGAGAACCAAAGCTGAGGGTAATTTTATTCTGCTATTGGGAGCTCTGTGATGTTCTCCATCCAGTAAGTACATGCAGAAGAGCTGCAGTACTCTGCATAATTAGACAAGCCCCTCACACAGATGGTTCCATGTTGTACACACGGCAGGCAGGCATTCACCGGATGCTTAAAAAAAAAAACCTATAGAATAATATAATCATTTGTCCCTCTTACTGCCTTCCTTTTCTTATATTTTATACATCTGAAAAAAAAAAAAACAACACACTTGCAAAACTAAAATCTAACGTGGATTAACTAACCTTATCAAAAAAAAAAAATCCCTCAGAAAGAAAAATAAAATAAAAACCAACCCCCGAATACTAAACCTGACAACTCTTTGATGCTTAAATAGCAATTTACATCATATAAACATTCATAATCTTCATTGGTGTCAAGGGGTTAATTATGAGTGCCTTGTACCAGAGAAGTCTCACAGTTCCAAGTAAGTTAACAGAATTCGCCTCCAACACACGCCGACTTGGGGAACCCAACAGCCTGTTTGGGTTTCATCTCAGCGCTGGTGGGAAGATAAAGTAAAAACTCTCACAGTAAAATGTTCATAATAGATAATAGGTCCTGGAAGATTTGGCTGTGCTGTTCCTATTCCATTGAAGAAATGATTCCTGTTCCAGTTATAGACACGGCTGCCCAACCAGAGAGGTCTTCCACAGGCATTTGTTCACTAGTTCAACCCATATTTACTATCTACCTGCATCATGCCTGGTACCAGAAAAACAGGCCCCTGCCATCAATGAGCTTACAATCTAGTGAGACAAGAACTTTCCAGAAGGATCAATGTGTTCCAAAGAAACCTCATGACTCAGGTCTGCCCTGACCAGGTGACAGCTTCAAGACACCGTGTGTTCTGAGAGGCAGGACCTTACTCGGTTTCATCAAGCCAAGCGGAGCCTCAGATGCTCTAAGTTTTCTGAAGACTCAACAGTGTATCATGTGACTTAATTTCCCATAACTTGCTAAGGAAAGCGAACAGAACCTTTGAGTTCAGGAGGTTCTAGGAGACCATGTTTAGTACTCAGTGGATAGCCATTGTGAATAAGCTTCTCAAGTGAGGAGCTGAGTACCCAAAACAAAGGGGACATTCCTCAGTAGGCCTTTGTGTTCCCTGTCAACGCTGGTAGGAAATACTCGGCTCACACCCCAGGTTGGCATGGTTCAATTACTTGGGCTCTCCAAGTCACGAATAGCACATAGAAAACACAGCAAAGAAGCCAAGACAACAGAGATATGCTGAGACCTTAATACTGCAGCCTATTTAAATAGGTGCTGGGTGCCAAGGAACTGTCACTTTCAACAAATAACACAATTTGCTGCTTATCTGCAGAACTGTTCTTCGTTCTTCCAAGACTTATCGCCTATCTAGCAAAGACTGTTCCTCAAAGGAAAGGTTGCACAAAGAGCCAAAACCCATCACGAGGGGTGGAAGGGGCTTCTAGGTTTGAGGAAGGGTGAGCACAGGGAAGAGCTAGCTCGTGGTGATGGTGAACAGGCAAAGCCAAGGACAGAATGGCAGAGAATTGGCAGATGCCCCTAATGACTTCACACAGTTCAGATGTGTGGACACACAAATCCCCACATGTTACACAGATAGCCAAATGGTGGGACAGCCCACATGCTTTTTACCCTTGGAAAGTAACGTGTCTTTTGCCAAAATAATCTGAGTCGCATAGTTGCTCGTTCCTGTTCAGCATCATTTTTCTCAGTTCTCTCAATAATTGTTACTCATTAATAAAAGTTGAGTGGAGCTGACCAAGTGAGGCAGAAATGAAATGAATGTGGCTATACTTTCAGAAGGGAGGTCATGTGAGCTCCAAGGTCACTTCCCATAATGGTCCTCATTATCAGTACAATGACTTCTTAATTTCTTTTACATCCAGCCTTCTAAATACATACAAGTACTTAGCAACCACTGAGCATGAAATGCCCACTGTCACTGCATAAGCCACCATGATAGAGGCTCTCCTGCCTGGTGAAGAGCAGTCCTTCCAAGTAACACAAGTTTTCATGCCATACAATCACAGAAGAGAGAGAGGCAGGATAAAGGAAGAGGTCAAAAGCCAAAGGAAGGCCCAAAGCAAAGCTGTGCAAAGGATCGGGATGTTCAATTCTCAGACTGTCTACAGATTTCCATCCTGAATTTCATGGCGCAATGAGTCACCAGGTATTCCAGAACAATGCCAGTAACAGGGAAGAAACTTCCAACGCCTCACTCCCGAGTTGAAGTTTTTACTTGTCTTTTCGATCCTCCCTGCCTGTTCTTTCTTTCTTGTTTTTAAATATTCTCCTGAATGCAAGTCTCAGCAATAAACCATTCACTTCAAGAAGAGTTCATATGAGACAGAGCTGACTCAAAGATAGAAGATTGTAATAATTAATACACGCAAAGAGGGGTTTTCCTGGATAGCTCTTCTCTTCCTCTCTTTCTCTCTCTCTCCCCCACCCCCAAGTTTTTTCACCAACAATTCTAGGAAAAAGGAAGATTAGGCAAATCATTCCTGAATAAATATAAAGCCCACACACACACACCATTATTCTTCTCACTGATTCGAACTTTCCAAATCTTCTGATTATGCACTGATTTACGGCCCACCCTAGATTCTGGAAATTTCCATTTCTCTACCCCTTGTCTCCAAAATGTCAGGTTAAACTTTCCAGCACCTTCCTGGTTTATCCCATCCACCTGAGACCATGAACTTCATCCCAACTAGCATGTCCCCTTCTTGATGAGGCCCTATGGGTGCTTATGTGCGAAGGACACATCATCTTTCCCTAAATCATTTTGCATCTAAAAACATTTAATGCCCTCTGAATTGTTTTTTTCTGTCTCTTAGCAAGAAGCACAAGGCCACCAGCCCTGTTATTTTTGTGGTAGAAGAAAAGCTTCACAAGAGAGGCAAAAACAAATCCTGGCCACATACAGCATCATATTTCACAGAAAACTGTGTACATTTGTTCCCCATATAGGACATACATCAAAGTAACAAAAAAAATTTCATCAACTGTAGTGTTCCTTCTTGCCATTAGAAGTAGAACTGTCTCCCTCGTGGCACATAAATATCAGAGAAAAGTAGTCTTTGAAATATTTACGTCCGGGAGTTCTTTGCTGGTTATTATTGATTTGGTGCGTGTTTCTCGGTTTGTGTTCCAAAAGGTGGCAGCCTCAGTTTTCATTTTCTCTCCACCCACGAGCATTCTTCCCAAACTTATATACCAGCCTGCGTCCATCCACCCGTTCCAGGATCTCTCTTTTGTAGTAATATCTGTAACAAAGGAAATTGCATAAAGCGGTTGTTTAGACAGAGTCTACCAGGTAAATAGCTACTCAAAATAGCCTTATCATCTGAAGAGACGTGAAACTTCTTACCTCATGGCCCGGCTGAGTTTTTCATACGTCATGCTACTGTTGTTTTTCTTTTTTCCCCATAGCTGAGCCACAGCTTCTGATTTCAAGAACCTGAAGATGCCCTCAGACCGGTCTTCCCACTTGATTAACCCTGGGTTCTTGTCTGGGTTCAGGAGGATATCACGGATAAATTCCCACAAATGAGTCCCTCTTGGGTCTGTAAAGAGGAAGAAAACAAGGTTTATTTTCTCCTACAGCACAGCAAGAAAGGGGCAAAGAAAGCGCTGAGTTCTAATTTCTCCCTTCAAGATGGAGATATTCTGTTTTCCTCTACTGGATGGGGTAACAGATCACAGAACCATCAAATATTGTACATTAGAAAAAGCATTTGATAGTGAACAATTAGCACAACTTTTTATTTTGTATATCATAAAACTGAGGAACAGAGAATTTCAGTGATCTGACCAAGATCACAGGGTCAACTTTTGGTAAAGCCTGAAGTGAGGAACAGGTCTTGGGTTTCTTAAACTGGAGAGCTTCTTTTAATTATTATTTGCAACTTGCTTGCACTTGATTTCAATGTATTTTTCCCTATCAAGCACTTTCAACCACTTCTTTCTAGTCCCTGACCCAATGAAGGTACTCCGATCTAGCAACCAAATTAAGTTAGTCTGATCCCAACACAAATGAATATTGCTGCAGAATATATATGAAGTACTAGAACATACTGGGGAGGTTGGCATCACACAGAAGCTAGAGATGATAATTTGAAAATGAAGCAATCATTGCAGTGAAATTAACAATCAAATTCAACTTTACTCCCAGTGAATTCGTGACACCTTTCCCTCACACCACTAGGAAGAGGGTTGCGATGGCAACAGTATGGACCCTCGGGTGCTCTATAATTTTTAGATTATGCTATCTTCATTTCCCTCTATGGCCTCTCAATTCTGTGTCTGTTTTCACCCATATGCTCCTAAGGCTTTATTAATGGTGTGATACAATTCCCAAAGAACCCTACAAAATCTAGAATAAACAGTCATTTCTTAGAGCAAAAGCTCCATAGAGGTAGGAGGGCATAATTCAGCCAAAGATAGAATGGTGCACCTCAGTTGTTTCTTCTCATTTTACATCTCTTCCCACCTTTCTTATTCAGGGAGAGAGAAAATCTCTAACCCTCTGTCTGCAAGAAACTGTTATCCATGGGGTCCTGATTTTAGAATAAATATGACAAGGTGAAGGGGAAATAGCCAGGGGCTCCCATTTTGAGAAACAATTGCATGCTTCCCACTTCCTTTTCTTTGTGGTGCCTTATGAGACAAAGGATTCGTGAGTGTTTACCGTCAGCGGAGACCTCTATTTTCTCTCCTAGTCTTTAGTGAAGAAACACTGATAGCAGTCAGAGGCAACCCGGGCCTGAAAACTGGGGGGCTTCCAGCTATGGCCAACACCAAGGAAAGGACCAAAGGCCATTTAGAAGCCAGGTGACTTACTATGCTTTTTGGTGTGAGACTTTGTAGGGTGGTCAGGCTCTTTTTTCATATCAGGTGACTCTACTAAAAAGAGAAATGAGAGCTGTTTAGTTTATCTATTTCTTATACCATCCTTTTCATTCACGCATATACCCCATTAGCCAACATTTATTAAGCACCTTTTTCCTGCTTGCCCCTTTTCACATCCATGTTAATGAACCAAACACAGTCCCAGATTATAAGAGCTGAGGAGCAAAATAATTCAGAGTAAGAAATGGGGATAAACATACAGAGGTGGGAACAGTCTCCAATTTTTTTCAGTACCAGCAATCGAACTCAGGACCTTGCACTTGCCAAGCAGGTGCTTATGCTGCTGAGCTATCTCCCTGACCCAACAGTTTCCAATTTAACCCAAGATGTGAACAGCCAGCTTCTCTAATAAAGGAACCAATGAGGTGTGAGGGAGCTGACGATGCAGAGAGCTTGTGGGAGAGCCTTCCATGTGTGAGCACGGTTTGTGCAAAGGTCCTGAGGTTGACGTGTATGGACGCATGAACAAAATGAAAGATGTCAGAGTAGTTGTGAGCAAATAGAACCCTAGGAGAAGAGGATACAATCATCAATGCCTTTCTGGGCTTCTAAGTAATCTCTCTGAGAGGGATAGGAAGCCACTGAAAGACTTAGGTCCTTAGACTTTATTTTTTTACATAATTGCAAAATATAAACATTTACAACAAAGAAAGATGGTTCTTAAGCCACAAGAGTGCCCTGGTTTTGGCATGCAAAGTCGAATTTCAATCACCCTGACAAAGGGGCCATTGAGCAGTCTGGGAAGAGAACAGAGGGCCACAGTGGCCTGTGGAAACACAGATTAGCTTAACAAATAACTATCACCAAAGCAGAGACCACAGAGGCAGACCTTGGTAGTCAAAAGTTAAAAGAGAAAAGGCCACGTTCTCCCTTGTGTGCAGAAGGTTTACAGTCTCATACAAGAAGAGATTAGAATGGTGACCACGAGAAAGAAGGGAGGGAAGGGAAGAAGCTGGGTGGATAATGGGGAGAAAATGCAGCTGGACAAAAGCTCTACGGCGGAGTAGCCTGTGTACAGTTTCCAGCACTTTACAACATGTTTCATAATGAACCGGAGGAGAGTGCGCCCAAGCTCGCTCTCACCACAAATAAGCGGTAGCTGGAGAAGAGACAGAAATGCTAACTCGATGGCCTGAGCTGGTCATGCTACATTGCGTGCACGTATCCAGCTATCATGCTGTACCCCACAAATGCATGCAATTATTGTGTATGAATTAAAAATAAAATGGAGAAGAGAAACCAAATAACCTATCTGTGCATGTTTCAAAGGATACTGCAGGTATTGTGAGAATGGAAGTAGGTATTAAAAAGAATTCCTGAATCAAAAAAACAGTCAATACAAAGTAGTCCCCATCTACAAGTCAGTTCTTCAACACCTTGTCTCCTCCTGGCACAATCTACCAGTCCCCCCACTTAGGGCTCACTGCCCCCTATATGTCCTGCAAGGACATCTGGACTGATTGCACACAGAGGAAAAGAATAAACGGTAATCATTCAGTTGTTCAAAAAAGTTTAACTACAGCCACTGTGAACATCAATATGGAAATTCCTCAAAAAGCTGCAAATAGAAATTTCCCTTGACCCCGCTATACCTCTTCTAGGTATTTCCCAGCAAGAGACAAAGACAGTACACTGACACGTGTTTATGCATGTTTATAGCAGCACAACTCATAATAGCTCATCCTGGAAGAAGCTGCCTATCTACCCATTGACAGATACGTAGATAAAGAAAATGTGGCACTTGTACACCACAGAGTAGGCTCAGTCATAAACAAGGATGCATTTAAATGATTCGTAAGAAAAGGGATTTGCCTTAAGCCAGTAATGCTAAGTGAACAAAATCAAACACAGAAAGTTAAATAATTCATAGTTGGTCTTCTGTGGGAAAGCAAAAGTATAAATCTTTTAAAGAGCAAAATAAAAGATAGATGATAAGAAACAGGATTACAGACTTGGTGGAGATGAGAAGAAAACTTGGGGATGGGAGAAGATAGGAGAGGGAGGAGAAGGGAAGTGAAAAGGGTCAAGATGTGATCTTATATGTACCAATTCCCCACAAGGCATGTGTTTTTAAAGTTCATTGAACACTAGCTTCTAATTAAAATGGCAAGAAGCAAGCTACTGTTTCTTGACTACTTACTCGGTACCAAACCTATACTAAGCACTTTACACAAATCATCTTGTGTAATTTATACAATAACCCAAGAGATCAGAACTATGTACTAGGTATTATGGCCTATAGATTATAGCTGGGGCAGAGCTGAGAAACTGAAAACTCAAGTGACTGGGCTACCCATCAGACAACCTGAAAGTGGAGCCTGGAAGTGAAGCCAAATAACTTTGAACCCATAGTCTTCACCTTCCCTCATACTCACTCTTCTGTGTCATTTCATCACCTATAACACATAATTGATTACCCAGAAGTCTTTTCTACCAAGAGTCAGTTCGTTTTTCTTCTACTTTCATTAATGGAAAAAATAATCCCAGGCTAATTTCCCAGTGCACATGGCCCACTCATCTGTCTCTTCACACAGTTGATCATAATCCAGTTCTCCTAGTGTTTCTCTCAAAACCACTGCAAGATGAAGAAAAGGGCTTAAGTAAGAGCCAGGCGGTAGAAAAGCTTCTCATTCTGGTTAAGAATCTCTCTCCTGACATGGGCACCAGGAGGACCTGCGCCCGACATGAATTTCTCTGAATCTGGAGGGACAAATTCACAGGAAGTGGGAGGAGACTCCGCTCTCCCGCCTGGACATTATGAGGCAGGGTTGCAACATCCCATCAGGATGTGACAATATTGCGACAGGCCTGGCACTCATCCCGGTTTCCAAGTGATACATCACTCTGACAGGGCCACGTTGTTCTGCAGACAAAGAGTGGCATTTACCCAGCACACCACAAGCAAAGCTCATTTTCAAATGGCATCCAGGATGGTGTGGGGACATTATTTCCCAACCAGGGTTGAAGTCAGAAAATCCTGAGCGTCCCTCAGCACATTGTCTTCATTGTGAATTCCAGCTTAATGTGGAATGAATCACTTTGGGATTAAGATACCTTTGTGGCGATGCTAAAAACCCTTGGCCCCTCTCCCCAGAAAAAGGCACCTATGTGCACACTTGTTGAATTCTCTCACAATTTTTAGAGTTCATGGTTTATGCTAGAGTTCATAGACTCTAAATTAAAAGCCCCCACCCTAGATAAACCATGCAAAAATTTCTCTATATTAGTCATTTATTCAACTTAATCCTCCATCTAGTTTAAGAAAAGATTTTTTTAAAAATCTCACTTCAGAAAAGATGTAAGATGGGCCAGGGTTATAGCTCAGTGGCATAAGTGCTTGTTTGGCAAGAACTAGGTCCTCAATTTGATCTCTGGTACTGCAAATAGAAAGAAGGAAGGAAGGAAGGAAGGAAGGAAGGAAGGAAGGAAGGAAGGAAGGAAGGAAGGAAGGAAGGAAGGAAGGAGAGAGAGAATAATAATAAAAGATAAACCATGAAAATATTCCCATCATCATATGGGACAACAACCAAAGGCAAAGAAAATATCTAATTTCATCTAGGTCCCTCCTCCAGTTCCAATCCACAGAATCCCAGAGCTGCCTTAGCACTAAAATCTTTTGATCTACAACTTTAATACAACCAACTTCTTCCCCTCTCTCCTTCCCACTGCCACAAAATAAAAGTCAAGACCTTTGAAGTTATCCAGGTGGTTAAATGATTCATTGTTATAAAATAATGGCCCACTCCAGGGAGGTTATCCATCCTGGCTTTCTCTAGCTCCCCTCCCAAGCATTCTGGGCCAAGGTCCTCAAGGCCCAGGCTGGGGCATGACAAGGCACAAGTTCATGATGCAAGGTTGACAGCTCGACTTCAGTTAAACTGCTTCCCAAGAAGCAAAGATTAGAAGCATTTGCATATGATTCATCCCTGAGCCATTCTTTACGGGATATACAAATTTCAGTGTTCTAATAGACCATGCCACCCTCGCTTTAGGCTCGACAAGTCAGTAGATAAACACATCAAGCCTGCATTGGCATGAGCAGCTGCAGGACAGTCCAGCAGATCCATGCACTGGCGGCAGCCGTTTTATAAAAATAGGCAGATGACAGAGCAATTCAAACATAGCCTCTTCCCCACCAGCCTTATCGCAGAGGCCATCAGTTTAGGCAAGTCCTGCCTTAGCTCCGCTTCAACTTGCACCGAAACTTAGACAGATATGTATTTAGCTTCACTCAATTCATGAGAGCTTGAAATATAAAAGGCTCAGGCTGGCAGCAGAGGTCTTTTGGGGAATGGATGCTGGTCCCCTTCAGTACTAAGGGAAGAAGATGCAAGGATGATGGAGCTATGGATCAGCCAATTCATAAAGCCCACTTCAACCAGGACTATCAGAAAATATTGCGCAGGTGGGCTCAGAAGCTCACAAGCTCCCTATTACTACAAGACTGCAAGCAGTAACTGGCTCCTCAGGCCCCTGTCATCTGTCAGATTCTAGACAGTCTAAATCAAGACATAGAAAGGGGAAGGAAGACCGGGTTGCAGAGCTGTGACCATTAGAAAAACTTCCCGGGGAGTCTCTAACCCTAACCACCCCCAAAGCTCAGGAAGCAGTTAGTTCAGCTTTACTCTTAGTTGGAATCTTTTGCCATAAACCAAAGGCCCAACCAGAAGGACCTGAGAAGTGACACCTGAGGAAACGTGAGAGGAAATCAGAGGGTGACTTGGTGGTTTCCTCAGCCCTAAAGCCTTTAGTCCTGACTGTGACAATGATTACCACAGAAATTATACCCTAGCGGGCAGTTCCTCCAAAGTGGCACCTCAGAGTCTTTCCACTGTTTGATCTGCTTCCTCATTTCAACAAATAACTGCAACTTGGAGTGAAACCTAATGCTAAAGGCTATGGAGGGAGGGGAAGTAGAGAGATGAACTGCCTTCAGTATCAGCCTCATTTCCAGAGCCATTTACACTGGTTCCCAGCCCCGTCTCATCTGAGGGGCTTGACCAGATCAAAACCAAAGGCTTTCATTATTTCAGGCCTCAAAAACACACTCAACAAAAGCAAAAACTAAATACATACATAAATAAATAAATAAATAAATAAATAAAAAGAGGAAGGGCGTTGTTTAATTCCCCTGATTAAATCCTAATTCTGATGCTGTCCCAAATTCAATTCCTGGACAGAGGCATTTCCTGTGTGACTGACATATATGTTCTGCTTCCTAGACCCAAAGACATCCAGAAATTTTCATTCAGGTCAAGGGCAGCATAAAATCTGCCACACAGGTTGTTCCTATACTGTCCATGCTAATGACCCCATCTGAAAGCCCCCTCCCCAGATTCCTGATGGATCAGTCCTCACTACTATAAACTTGATGAGTAGTCAGGAATCAAATCTTCACACAATAGAACCAACGTGAACATAATTTGTAGAGTGCAGGTACTCTAATTAGAGAGGATCAATGAGCCATCGGGCTTAGATTTAAAAGCTAGACCATAACATGACTGAGGGGGTTCTGGAAACTTCTAATGGCCATCATCATAAGTTCATGACCCCTGAATTCCACTGGTAGACAGTCTTCTTCAAAAGCCAAATGTAGTTTGAAGTTAATGTTCCAGTCTAGGTGAAAGTTAAATACAGCCCTCTTCCCCTATATGTGTAAGTAATATTTTTCACGTATATCCCAAGAGAAAATTTTTGTGAAAAAGAGAGGAAAACATGAACAAAATCTGTTGTTTCATGAGAGACAAACATTTCTAGAGGAATCCTTACTGGTCATCTTTGATGCATCAATATTGACTCAAAAATTAACATATTCTTAGGGGGCCAGGGAGATGGCTCAGTGGAATAAGTACTTCTCTGGCAAGCACAAGAGCCTGAGTTCAATCCCCGGTTCCGCCAAAAAAAAAATTAACATATTCTTATAAATGTTAACTCACTCCTGTTTTTAGCTTTGCAATGAGAAAGATTATAGCAAAGCAAAACAGTAAGATGTTGATAATTCTCATTAATTCTCAGGAAGCACTTGCATTAGTCACATTTAGCCTCAGATGACAGGATGACTTACCAACAGGAAGGTGACCCGTGGTGGTCATGGAGATCTGAGCCCGACAGAAAGTTTTGCTGTCCAACAAATCTGTAACAGTGAAAATATAAAAGGCGTGAAAAGCTCCCTCCTTACCACATCACATGGCAGTTATACAATAAGCCTAAGAAAGGAAAAGGGCCTTCTGTATTGGGCAGTTAGTTACCTACTGTGCTACCATAGGTGGTGTCGTATAAATAGTTTTCTTCTTTCCAGGTGTTCATAACAGATGGGTCTACAAAGAATAGAAGATGGGGAAGATCAACAATTGTTTTCCTCAAGGTGAAACATCTGCCTCTTCTAAGTCCCCACTCATCTAAAATCACTGAGGCAGAGGTGGCCCTCAGAGAGGAGGGATGATATTCTGCTTAGGTACATGTTACCATTGTCCTCCTGGTGTCATGGCGGCAATGGCATCCTGGTCCTCATTGAGTGATCATTAGCTGTTGCATTTGGAAAGTGAGAGGAGCTTCAATAATAGAATCCTGCCCTAGACCAACACTTTAATTTTCCTAGGAAGGTTTCCAACCTTCTCTAGCGCTCTATAATCACCTGAATATTTTTGCCTTGGGGTAGAAGGAAGCCCTTGTTAGAGACAAATGAATGTAGGATAAATGATTAATGAGCATCTTTTCATATAAATGTCTTCCTGGGAAAATCAATAGTGTTTCTCGTTCTTTATTTTGTTTTCTGAAAAGTCTTGTGCGTTTCTCTCACCGTTTCTTTCACAGCCTCTCAGTTTCTGAGACTCAGAAGGCACCCTCAAGCTGAGTGACAGCTGGGAACCCTTCAAGGGTTTCTCCAGTTAGTTCAAGGAGAGACGAATTCTCAAAACAACACCAAGGAGAAGGGAAGGGAGCCTTACCAAATCAAACAAAGAACTTTTAAGAATGGGGCACCGCTGCCTCATCTCTGGAGAAAGAGGAGTGCAGGCTCTGACTAGCTGGTTCTTTCTCCTCAGTGCGAGGTAAGTACACCTCCCTCTGACCCACTCTTGAGACTCGGCTTCTAAGGAAATTCCCTCCTCCTTCCCCAAGTGAAGTCCAACTCCTACACCACCCCCAGATCTTGGCTGGTCACCAACTCAGCATTTGCTTTCCTGCCTGGTCAAGTGTGCTAAGATCTTTCACCTTTTTCCTGAACACCCTCACCAACACCCTGACACCCTCTTTTGGCTTTAACCATAGTTCAGGCTGCCTGTGCCCCTCTTCTGCTTGAGTGCTGAATTTTAGGTCCAGAGTGGTAAGCCACTGGCCAAGTTTCATTTTGTTTTTACTGCGCAAATGGCATAAAACCTGACTCACTGTCTAAGTCCTCCTGTTTACGACATAGAGATTTAGCTGGTATTTTAACTAATAGCTACGTGTTTGGGCACCCCAAGCCCAATCTCTTGGGGTTACACCCTTTCTCCTTGTTGGATCACTCTGTACACCTGTTGTTGTCTCTGAAAACAAACTGAACCAAAGAGGCATGGGGGTGTTGGCCCCTCAGAGAGCCTCTTCTCCCTTCCACCCAGGGAGGACCTTCTTCTCCACGCTTTAGTTTAGCTTTTCTGAACTGGCAAGGCAAGAATGCCTAAATGGTCAAGGAGGAGTTAGCAAGGTTTTTGAGACCCCTCCAGTATCAATCAGGGTCCTTCAGGGAGGCTATCTGTAAGGTCAAAGGACAGAGTATTCCTTTAGCCAAAGGATGTATCTCTCCCTGGGCCAGGCCTATAAAGCACAGACCATCGAGGCACCCTAGCCCCCAGTCTATGCAGAGGAGGGGAGGGTGAGGGAGGCCTAATTAACATGCTTAGCAGCTATTGTTTTTTTTTTTTTCTTTAATAATGGTAGACCAGCCCCCTCATAAAAAAGTAAATAACTGCATGGGCCAATTTGGGTGCCAAGTGACTCACAAATCACCCCAGGTCAAATTCTGTCCTTGGTGACTGGCACGCAACCTTCAGGGCGGCCTGTGGCAAACGTGGTCAGCCCACATGGCTCCCAAATCTTCCTGATGTGGACACAGGGAGTAGCTCAGGAACAGTGGCACCTGCACTTTTATCATAGCTGTAGATTCTGGGAGGTCAAGCTCCAGGAGAGAGATGTGGAAATGGCAAAAGGGGAACAAAGTGAGCACTGATGTTATGGGACCAGAAATGCTGCTCAGAGCATCTTGTATATGAAAATGTCCGTAAGGGAGAAGGTGAATTTCACAGGGGACTTGTGAAGCCCACGGGGCTTCAAAACCTATACAAACTAGACTACCACCTCAGCATTTCCTTTCTTGTGAAACACACTCCCATGGGGAGGTGGGGGAAAGTGGAGACACTAACTTCCTCTTCTTTTGCACTGCTTTCTGAATTTGGCCAAGGCCCACGTCTTCACTCTTCGCCGGTGAGGAGGCTCACTTTAGATTCTGTGTTTCTACAGCTACTGGCTGGGAGTCCAGTGATGCCCTGACAGTGGTAGGAAGTAGAGACATATGGGCTCACCGCTCCAGTCTCCATCAGAAGGAGTTAGGGGTCACTGGTCCCAAGGAGTTAGTAGCCCATGGGAATCACACTGGACAGCAGCCTCCCTGGGTTTCTTGCCAGGACCCGCTGCCGTGCTCTGATTTGTGCTCCACCCTGTAACCCCCCTCCCCCACCGCAGGACTTTGCCTGGCCAGGTTGGCTCTCTGCCTCTCTCACCACTCACCGTTTTGTTCGGTCTTGACAATGACATTGTGTGTGGACTGGAACAGGTCGCTGCTGCACTGGCCTGTGAAGGACACATGGGAAAAGTCAAAGAGAGCCCAGAAGGAGCCAAAACGCCATGCTTCACTAAGAATGGAGCTGGCCTCATGGACAAGTAGGCTTCTGTCACCTCCCTGCCTGCTCAGGTGTTTGCTTACAGGAGAATGCTTCCTTCTCAGCCTCCACAGGTTCAGACCCAGAAACGTCCCTGACCCCAGAAAAGCCAACAGTCCAAGGCATCCCCACCAGCTGGAGTTATCTGGCATTAAAGAAGGAAGGCACCTAATGTGCTGGACCCAGAACTTCAGACATCCAAAGAACAATTTTTCCATTACTAGCTACAAGGCATTCATTTTCTGAATCTCTGCTTCTTCATCTGTAAATGTAGGTCATAAAATTAGATAGAAGTGCAAGCAATTTCTAGATGCTTTCACTTATCAAGATATGAAATGAGGACAAAGGGAAAACCATTTCCACTAGCTTGATTCTTCTTTGATTTTAAATGTGATCAAATCCATCTCGATGAGATCCAGTATATAAGGTACATCTGGATGCAGTAAGCCTTCCCTTATTTTTATGACCTCAGCGCTGGAGTAAATGGTGTATAGCACATGTTCTAGTGTTCCTTTTATAACACCGCTTGACTTGCATCATATAAAAGCACATATGTTACATATAAATGAATCAAGAATTTTTTCCCCTCCTAGTGAGACTATAACTATTTCCGGAGTGCGGATTGTACCTCTGACCTCTCTGACCTTCAGGTTTCCCATCTGTAAAATGAATACAATACTTATTGTGCCATAAGCTCATTCCATAAATTAATTCACCTGGAGCATCCAATATAAGTAAATAATAAATGTAAGTTAATAGAATGTATACCAAAAAGTAAACAATAAAGCAAGGGGGAGAGTCTGATGATTAGACACTCAGAGGCCATGGCAGTACACAGCCAGAGCGGACAAGTCACGGGAGGTCAAAGATGGAAGGTCACACATGGCCCCAGCGCCTGCCCCCGCCTCAGGCTTCAGTCACAACAAAGCTTTAAAGGAGGACATTTAATCGGGGGTGGGGAGGTAAATATTTTTAATTCTTCAGCTATAAGCCAGCTCTTTCTGAAGACTCCTGGGAGTTATTTATAGGGCCTTGTTTAGTTTGGTTCTTGTAAATGAAAAATGAGCAACCGAAGCTGCAAGGTGAGTGGGAAGGAGGGAGTGCCAGGGTGCTGGGGCCAGATGAGGTCATCCAAAATGGCCGCCCCAGCTGCCCGCTTGAAGCTGGCCTCCTGGGTCCTCCTCAGGGCTGACTGCAGCTGCCAGGGCCTGGCTCTGCCTCAGAGTCTTGGAACTCCCATGTACTTATCTTTATTAATTCACTCACACACCAGTTCTGCTAAGACAAAATACTTTTCCCATTTCCATTTGGGCATAGTCTCCATCTCTGCTAAGACATAAATATTTTCCTTCCCAGTGTGGCTGCACCAGCTCACTGTCCTTAAGTGTTCCTCCTTTCTAAGATGTCCACAGTTCTCAGAGGAGCTAATTTTACGTCCACTGTCAGAGGAACCTTCTGTCAGTGTCAAAGGCATTCTACAGAATGAGTTGTGTGCCCTACAGGGCCTTATGAGGCAGTGTAGCACGTGGTGTAGATGTTAATAAATTATCACCAATATCTTAGGACTAGGAGGTGCTAGGTGCCCGGTGAAGACACTCGAGGGTTTCGGGCAGCCTCGGTTCCAGAAATCAGCACAGGAACAACCACAAGAGTCCAGACTATTGGCTCTAGCCTTTCTTTGTTTCTTTCTTTTTTCTTTTCTTGTCTCTTTCTTTCTCTTTCCTTTTCTTTCCTTCTTCCTTTTTTTTTTTCTTTTCTGGAGATGTCTTGTTCCCAGAAAAAAAGGGACATCTTTCTTTCCTTTTTCTGTCTTTCTTTCTCTGTCTTTCTTTTTCTTTTTGTTATGAACATATTCAGAATCTGCCAAGAAATGATGAGTCCTCAAAAACTATCTGTCCCCTCCCAAACATACACATTTAATGTTCCACCTCTTCTCAGTTACCTTAGACCCCCACTTAAGAACCTACATCTAGAAGATTTGGTTTTTCAGTTGTTTGCTTTTTAAAGTAGTCATGATCATCTTTAACAAACAAATGATTGGGAATTAAACTACTGAACTCTGCTTGCAAAGTTTAGAAAGACGAGTTTTCTAGGGGTAGCAAGTGTTCCGGGAATGCCCAGCCAGCGCCTTGTCTCCCTGGATCTGAACACAGCCAGAGGCGATTACTGAGTTGCATAAGCGTTCCTAAGGGATCAGACACACTGGATCCCAGGTTTTTCCCCGTGTTATCACCCCCCTCCTACTGCCCTGTTTTGGGAAATGGTCATTCAGAGGTGAGACCATTCTTCACTGCTCCTGATAAGGAACCCACTCAGATGGAGGCCTCTGAGCTCTCCCACCCCCACTTAGCAGGACAGGGCAGGGCCAGTCACCATTCCACTTGAGATGCTGCAGGCTGCTGTACAGCAGCTGCCCCGCTGTGCCTGCTGCCCTCGTGAACTCCTGCAGGCTCATGCTGCACAGGTGCTCGCCATTGACGTCGAACTCCTGGAAAGGGATGCAGCTGGCGTCCAGCTGGTTGGTGTCCAGAAGGTGCTGCAGCCATTCCCACACCTGATACTTGGTCCAGTACTGGGGGTGGATTTCATGCCACTGGCCTCCAAAGAACCCGCTGGAAACTGCAAGACAGGAGATGAGGCTGTCAGTGGTTGCTGGGCATTGCTGGGCATAGTCCCTCACTCAGCGTGCTTTGCAGCCATGCCATGAGGGACAGCCCCAAACTGTGAGCAGTGGAGTAGGGGTTGAAATGTGAGGCGAGCTCTGGGAGGTGTGATTCTTTTCCCCATTATGGCAGGGGCCACTGAATTCCTGCGCCTTCACCTTCTCCTTCCCATGATACTCACCCCTGCACTCTGAGCCTTCAAAGCTCACATCTGCTCCACCCAAAGCACCACAAACACTAAAACACTGCTGTAGTTTCAATATCTTAGTAGCTTATTATCCACACCAAACACAGTCATGCCTCGGTATCCACTGATGTATGGCTTCAGGATCCCGTGTGGATACTAAAATCTCCAGCCGCTCAGATTCCTTACACAAGATGGCATGGTATTTGCCTGTACCCTCAACATATTCTTGCATATATTTTAAGTCATCCCTAGACGTCTTGCAATCCCTAGTACAATAATACTGCTATATAAAGAGTTGTGATGCTGTATTATTTAGCGAATAATAAGAAAAAGTCTGTGATGTTCAGGGAAAACACCAAAAATAGGTATAAAATAAACAAGCCAGGCATTGAGACTCTTTTCTGTTAGTAACCCATGACCCTTGTCTTCTGTGCTACTCTTTTGATGGATTTTTTTTTTTAATGTATTTGGTTGGTACAGGGTCTCACTATGCAGCTTGGACTAATAATGATCCTCTGTTTTCAGCCTCCCCAGTGCTGGGATTACAGGCATGTGCCACCACAGTGAGACTCTGTGGCCAGCTCAACCTGCCTTAGGGGCAGGGTTGGCGCAGCATGCGGTGCCGGGGTGAACCGCGGCCCCTATGTTTTCCTAAAGCAGGCACTTTAGTCCGCTGAGCTATCTCACCAGCCCTCTTTCGGTACACTTCTATCCTACCACTTACTCCTGTTGCATTCTTACCTACCTTTCAAACATTGACCACCAATAAAGCTTTCACTTACTCCCAGAACTCCCTGTCCTTTGGTTCTCCAGGAGCCGTGCTTGGGACTTCTCCTAATGGCCTCTACCATATCCTACTCTTCTTTTTTTTTTTTTCGGCACTGGGGATGGAACTCAGGACCTTGCACTTGCCAGGCAGGTGCTTATTCTACTGAGCTATCTCCCAGCCCTATCCTACTCTTCTTTACAGGTCTCTGAGCACCGTCTTAGTCTCCTTTGTAAATTGCAAAGTCAAGGTCAAGGACTCTGTCACTCAACTTCACATGGCCTATTATATGACCTCAGTGACTGCCATTCTAGGTGTTCTCTATATACTTGCTCAGTAGAATTGGCTGCTGAAGAAGAAATAATGCAGGAATATGGGAGCACCGGGAGGCACAGTAAGAAGTTGGGTTCAAATAATATGAAGATGTGAAGTTCACACTAATAGACAAATATGGTTAAACTTATTATGTGCTAACCATCTATGTGTGTGACTCTCCTTTGTTCAGTTGATGGAATGTCATATAATTGGTCCAAAGTCATACAAGGGTGGGAGGTGATACATTGGAGAAGAGACAGTCAATCTCTAGGGCCATGTTATAGTCCCCTCAAGAGAGATGTCACAAGCAAGAAATTTGTTCCAAGAAGAGTGAGAAGCAAATTCTATTGCATCTCACCAAACTGAAGCAGGAGAAATCCAACCGAGTATGTCACCAACTTAAGACATGAACCAGGATTGGGAACGGTATTTGCAGGGAAACTACCTCTAACTGTCCATTCAAAGCCAGGCTAGATCACTCCCTTCCAAATGTTAATGTGATTGTGAGCCACAGAGAAATTCTGCTCAAATGCAGGTTCTGATTTAGAGGATCTGGGCTGAGGCCAGAGTGTCTGTATTTCTACAAAGCTTCCCACAGGGATGATGCAGGTGGGCTGTGGAGTGACGGGGTGATTCTTGGCTCTCAAAGGCCTGAGTCCTCAACACCCAATACTCAAACACCCATATTTAGGGTCTCCATGTCCCCCAATTTGTTTGGTGTTTCATACAGATAGCTGTTTAAGAAGGGGTATGTTTTTGTAACCCCCCAACTATTTGATCTTTTTCTACCCTCAAAGAATTGTGTTGTGTTGAGGGTGAAGTTCTAATTTTGCCAACAGGATTCAACATCTAAGACCCCACAGCAGACTCAGAAAAATCTCTTCTCCAAACTTAACATGATCTAGACTAAAGAAGAGCTTCTCTTGTATCCTGTTCAGACTGGGAAGAAGCAGGAGAGAATTTTGTCTAAAGCTGACGAGGGGAAGGTCTGGCATCAGACAGAGAACCTATGAAATTTCTGGAGTTTCAGGAGAAATATTTGAAAGTATTGTGAATTCTAAACTCTGTCCTTCAGATGACCTCCCTGTTCTAATCTTGATAAATAGCTGGCCTTCTCTGGGACCTTTAGAAATTATGAAATAAAAATGGCACCCAAATTCTACTTCTTGCTAAGTAAGTTGCTCTAGTTTGTTTCCAAAGCAAACGAACAAAATAAATGCTACCTTCTCAGCAAGGGCCTGGGAGCTAAGGAGACTCATACTCTCTGCCCTATCTACTTAGAAGCTTCCTTCTAGGTCCTTCAGAAAATCTAAGGCTTTCAGTAAAAAATGTAACTGCCCAGAAAGAGAGGCATCATGGTGGAACAGGTGATGGAATAAGGAAAAGCCACTTGTTCATACTTTCTACCTGTTTGGCTGCAATTCCAAATTAAAATAGGTGCTCACAATGTACTATGCACATGTGGCAAGTCCCTACAATGACTGCATTTATTACAGATTGCAAACATAGAGTAATAAAAAAAGACAAAAAAACAAATGAAGAGAGGTGGAGCTGCACGTGGAAGCCACTCGTGGGAGCACGTCACCTCCCATCGCCCTCCCACACCTGCTGCTCAAACTGTGCTTCCCATTCAGCTGTGTCCTTGTTTCAAATGAGCAGGACTCTGCTGGGGAGATTAATAGCAGGTGTGGGTGGGAGAAGGCTCAGCGCCTCTTAAGCCCAGCGCCATTGGGTGCTCAGCAGCCTGTCTACACGGAAGCCTTCACTGCACCAGGTGGGGCATCTGATTCAACCTCAGCTTCACTCAGAGTCAGTTTCTGTAACAAGCCACAGGCTTGGCCACCAAACCCTCTGCATGCCTCACCAGCCGGCCCGCCCCCTGTGGATCACTAAGTTCTAGAGATTCAAACGCTCATGAACAGGACCTGGCCTCCTGGTCAGTTTCTCTCCCCTTACACTGGAAGATGAACAGCAGCTTAATCTAAAAAGCTTAAGCTGCTGTTAGCCTCCGTGTGTGTGTGTGTGTGTGTGTGTGTGTGTGTAGACACAAGCATGGACACTCACATGCAGGCATGCGCATACCTAGTTTCCCCTGTCCTGTTTTGATACATCCCAGCAAAATCCTGTTGAAAGCTTCAACAGGAAGTCTCTTCTGCTGTCCTACACCTTCACTGCCAGGATGCTAGCACGGACCCTTGTGTTTTGGCTAGACACAGTGCAGTATCTAAAATGGGCTTTCTTCTGGTGCCTTTGGGCCTCTAGAGAACTCTAGTATGAAGAGTCCTCAGGGCTGAAGGTGTAGCTCAGAGGCAGAGCCTGGGCTCAGTGTGCACAACGTCCTGGGTTCTATCTCTAGCACTGCAAAAAGGAAAGTCTTCTCCATTCTGCCCCATTGCCAATGTGCTCTGCCCGGCAAAACCTGTAGTTTTCAGCTGTCAGGTTGGGAGGGGAATTAAAGCAAAGAAAGAATAGCCATGGGACAGTGGAGCGCATGCTGCCTGGCCCTTACCGTTGCACGTGGGGTAGTTGTCTGTCCAGGCCGGCTGCTGGTGAAGGAGGCTGCTGCTGGGGTTGAGATTCATTACACCACTTCCTTCCAGAATCATGGTCTGTGAGGGACCAAACAACCCATTCAGTCAATGTTCCCTGGACACACGTCACTGGGGAGTGCAGATCATACAGTGAATGGAGAAGGACAGCAGAAAAAGAAGAGGAAGAAAAGGACAAGAAGAATGTGTCCACCCGCCCATGGCCACAGCACCTTCAGTGAAGTAAAATTCACAGGGATTAAAAATTTCCAGGTTCAGTTTTCATAGGCAGAAGGCAAGTTCTTCCAGCCACCCATTCATAAAGGAATAATCTCAGATCAGGAATGAAGCAGGAGGGAAATGCAATCCATGCTCCCAAGGCAATTCTGGCTGGCACCCAAGGGTGACTCTGTGTGTGTGCATGTGTGTGTGTTTACGAAGGTGAAAATGCAAAGGAAATTTTATTTCAAGCAGAATTTCAAGTGATAAAATTTCAGACACAGCATCTTTGCTGGCCTGGGAAGGTGAGAGCCTCAGTTGCCTTTTAGCAGGGTTCCTTCAGGATATTTCTTTGTGGTAATATCAGAAATCATTCAGTTTCTCCAATAGGCACTGCCCTTTTCTGGTTTCCTCTCTGGTAAGGAAAGTTACCACCAATTTTTCTCTCTTGTGACAGACTTGGAGAACTCAATGGCTTTAAAGCTGCCTCCATAGTGACTTGATTTGTCTGTGGAACCAATTTCTCAGTTAGAGGACCTAAGAGCACAGCTTGCTTCCCTGGGCCTACACAATGTGAAGATGTCACACTTTCGATCGTCTGACATTGATGACAGTGCCTAGCCCAAAGCTGGGCACACTCCATATTTCTGCCCCAAGCCCTGGGGTGTGAGCAGTTATCCAAAGGAGTAGCAGGCAATTTCTAGAAGGTCACTGAGCACTCCCCAGAGGTGTAAAAGTTGCTTTCTCTTTCTAAAATGCTGAGGCGGATAGCTGTGCTATCAGGCAGACCATGGAAATGTTCCTGCCTCTTTGGTGGAAATCTTTCATTCCTGAATGTCTACAGATGGAATTCAGGTCCCTTCCCCAATGTAATTCCAGCCTCGACCTGGCCCCCAGCTCCAATCGAGCCTCAGCTTCTGCATCCAGTCTATGTGGGGAAGAAAAGGAGCCCACAAAGGGCACAGAAGTGTGTCCATGAATTTGTATATTTCACAAGTATTTGCCAGCCCAGCGAAGGGCTGGGCACTGTACTAGGTTCCAAGGGTGGAGCCGTGATTAGGGCTGAGCTAGGTTGGACACAAACATTTATGATAATTATTAGCATCACCATCACTGTTGCTTGGTAAATAATTAGGCTCCAAGCCAACCTAAGAGGGGGATGGAGATGGAAAGATAATCTAGGCCTCGCAGACAGGCTAGCAGCACACGGAGACCTAGTGGGAAGATAGGAGAGCTGGACTCTACGGCCCATGTCCTAGGTGAGAGCTCTGCTGCCCTCGGTGACACGGAGGATTGACTGCAACTTCTCCCACTTCGTAGCTCAAGCTCGTATTAATTCATACAAGCTACTTCACCACCTGTTTCCTCCTACACAAAAAGCCACTAGTTTGATCTAGCCTAGGTATTGGTGGGAAGGCAAATGGATTTCTAATCCTTGAGCTCTTGATACCAAGTACAGGATAGTTAAGTAGGACAGGTGTTATGATGAAGAAATGTTTTTTCTCCTCTGGATAACTTGAACCAGAAACCTCCCAAGGCCTCAGTTTCCCCATCTGGAAATTTAAAGAAGGTTACTATGCTAGTTTTTTGAAGCTCCCTTCTGGAATCTCCTTCGGTTCTCATCTTTGGAGACAAAAAGTCAAGTCAGACCATCCACTCTCTCATTTTTGCAATAACTATACATTACGCATTACGCATTTCCCCATTCTGTATTCTACAGCAATTGCCCTAAAGTTAAAAGGCTGGGCTGCACACTTCAAGATGAAAGAAAACTCCAAGTCTCCAGGAAGGCGGCTGGGGGAGGAGGACGCCGCCACCGGCCTGGCTCTTGTTTGCTCAGGGCTGGGCTTCTTCCTGGGCAGCTTTTGCTCTCCTGGGAGCAGTGGAAAGGTTACTGTTTAACTCTCAGAGAGGCAGGAGCTCAGAGCCCAGCCCTCCTGCAGGAGGGAGCGAAGCCTCTGGCAGGATTGGAGGCCAGAAAAGGGGTCCCTCAGATTCTCAAGGACTGGCCCCCAGGGCTCTTTTACATCTTTTTTTTTTTTTAAACCAGGGATTGAATTCAGGCCCTTGCACTTGCCAGGCAAGTGTTTATTCTACTGAGCTATCTCCCCAGACCTCACATCTTCATTTCATGGGGAGCAAATCTGGCTGGCGGCCTCTGAGCTACCAGCTCAACCAGCACAAAGATATGATTTGCTGCTTCCAAACTTCCAAAAAGTGGGGCTTCAGGTGCCCACTTTTGGAAATGGGGAGATGGGGGATTGGATTCCAGTTCCCCTACCCTACCTTCTTGTGGATGCTTTTGAGTGCCAGATCTGTCTAGTCAGTAATTTCCTGAGCCTCCCTTTCCTCAGCTGTAAAATGGGAACAAGACCAAACTAGACTGAGAATCTCATGTACTTGTGTAGGTAAAAAAAAAAAAAAATAGCAAGTAATACAAAATAAAATAAATTGCGTCTCAGGCTAATTCTCAGTTCCTTCCCAGGAGGCCAGTGTCATTTCTCCCTGGGGACCTGGAAGCATCCATAACTACTCCCATCTCACAGAGTAGCCTTTCTGCACTACAGGGTCGAGGCTTCACCCTGCCCCAGGCTGTGTTGACCCAAGATCCCAAGCCTCGCACCCCCTTTCCGAGGGAAGGCAGCCAGCTCCGTGAGGGGCCCTTTTTACAGGGAACATTAAATGGTTACCACTCATAAAAGAATTTATGTGGCTTACCCCTTAGTGAGTCAGAGTTCACTGGGGCTCACCCAGGCTCGGGAGGGAAGAGAATGAGGCAGGGCTGCGGGACCCACAGGAAGCCGCAGGGAGAGTGCCTTCCAAGCTGGCCTAGTACAACCAACACACCCACACCCCCGTACACTTAATCTGACTGTCCGTGGTATATACTGACTACTTTATAGGGTATAAAAAGCAGCTATTTAATTTTAAAGTAGGAGGACTATTAATGCCCTATTTTCTGTTCCCCTCTTCCCCTTCAGCACTGCTGGCTTTATTTCCTTTAAAAAAAAAAAAAAAAAAAAAGGATCAGTAGAGCCTTGGAATCCAAGATCCCAGGTAGATTCCAGGTCCCATCTTTCAGTCATGTGACCTTCAGTATAGTAAGCTTTCTGACATTCATTTTCCTTCACTGGTTTAAACAGGGTGGGACTGGAGAGCTGGTGACAGTGATTTCTTCTAAGCCTAAGAGTTATTTTGAAGAGGCAATAATATAGTGGGTTTAAAGTGTCTAGCCCCACCCCCAGAGAAAATCACTTTTCTTTCTTTTAACAGTAATGCTAGAGGAGAATTCTCCAACACACTCTACTACCTTAGTTCAGAGCATGAGGAAGACCCATTCCAGTCTGTGTGTCCAAAGCGAGCTGGACACACAGAGCTCATTTTTCTCCATCATCAGCTTCCAACAGAAATGGAGGGGATGGGAAGGAAAGTGGAAGAGATCCACAGCCGTGCTAGGTAGTTATTAAAAGGAGGGTTTTGCAATATCCCCTGCACTGAAATTTGGGGCTGAATAATTCTCTTTTTAGCAATTTTTAAAAATGAACACATTTATATACAGTAACAGGATGCAGTAGATTAATTCAAGAAATCTATGCAATGTGTAATGATCAAATCAGAATAATTAGTATGTCTAGCTATTCAACACATTTATTATTTTCATATGTGGGGAAACTTCCAGGTCTTCTAGTTACTTTGAAATAGGACTTGCTATAGACTATATTTAATCTACTATGCTTTGAAAGACTACAACTCGGGCCAGGCAAATAGCTGAGTGGATTAAAGAGCCTACAAGCTGGCATAGGGGCCAGGGGTTTGATCCCTGGACCTTCAGTGTCAGCCCTTCCCTGGGGGAGCACTGAGACAGCAATTGAGACTGGGCGTGGTGACGCGTGACTGTAATCCCAGTTCTTGGGAAACTGTAAATAGGCGGTCACTAGAAGTCCGATCCAGTAGTGAGACCCTGAGCACCCTGTAGACCCTTCCCTAAGATACAAAAAAAGAAAAAGAAAGAAAGAAAGAAAGAAAGAAAGAAAGAAAGAAAGAAAGAAAGAAAGAAAGAAAGAAAGACTACCACTCACTCTTCCTACTTCACTGCATAGTCGGAACCTGGTAACCAACCCTCTCCGTGCCTCCTCTCCCCACCTTGCTCCAGCTCCGGTGGAATGCTACTCTACTTCTGAAAGGTCAGCCTTTCTCATTTCCTGTACCTGATTCACGCCACTTACATGACGTCCTTCAGTCCTGCCCACTTCACCACAAATGACAGGATTACATTCTTCTCAATGGCTGATAATATTCCCCTGGGTATACATGCCACACTTTCTTTATCCATCCATCTGTCACTGGCTAAGTAAGTGGTGTGGCATAAACATGGGCGTAGATGGGGTGGGGGTGAGGGTTCCCTACTCTGGGGCTGTCTTGTGCACCACTCCATGTTCAGAAGTGTTTTCACCACTGGAACGACCCCTGGATCCAAATCCGACTGGCTGAAAACAATGGCTGAAGACGAAGCCAGTGGCGGCAGACAACATGGGCCCTGCTGCCTCACTGATGTGGCAACCATGGCCTGTTGATGAGACTTTCTAAGCTGCCATTTCCTCTCCTGGGTAACAGATGGCATTAGTCCTTGCCACAGAGGCTGGTGGAGGCTTAAACAGGACAAGGACCTCAGAGCCCACAGCAGTGCCTGGCACAAAGACAGCAATCACCTAGCCAATGGAGGTTTAAGAAAATGCGTTGTGTACAGAGTCACCTCCCTCAAGGATCGGGTGGCATACGCGTGCATCTTGGAAATATAATGCAAGGTCTTGTTTGCATTATTAAAAACTGAACACACACCCAAAACTCCTAAATTTTATTTA